AGCCGCGCTCGTCGCTGCCGTCGCCGCAGTCGTCGTCGCCGTCGCACACGAACACGGCGGCCAGGCACGAGCGGTTGCCGCACTGGAACTCGTGCGGGGCGCACACTGCGCGGGACAGACAGCCTGTCGGCCCGCCGGCCCCCATCCTGGCCAGACCCGGGGCCGCTGGTCCCGCTGCAGGGGCCCTGACCCTCACTTCGAACCAGCATGAGCCGTGCTGGGGGCTGAAAAGTGGCCGTGTGGTCAAGCGCGGCAAAGGGGGGCTTCCAGCCTGGGCCCTGCCAGGGCCAGCCGGGTGACCTTGGGCAACAAACTGGGCCTCTGAGCCTCCCTGGCCTCACTGGGTAAACGAGAGGGAGAATTCCTGCCCCGCTGCCAGCAGCAGCATGGGACACCTAGGAGGACCTAGTGATCTTCCCGGGAAACGATATGCAGCATAACACTGCTCCATCTTCTGGGCACCCACCTCTTGCACCCACTGCCTCTGCACTTCACAATGATACCTTCTCATCCTTCAAGAGTCCAAAATCCCTCCTCCTTCACAACACACTTTGTGCTCTCCTGCTTGGGAAACTCTCCTGCCTCTGCCTGCCTTTCACCAGCCCCTCACAGACTGCTCAGGTGTCCGAGTTTCATATCTTTCTGTCTGCCCCATGACCACAAGCCTCTCAGGGATGGCCACAGAGACTGACCCACTTTGTCCCGAGGGCCTGGCACAGAGCTGCCTGCAGTGAGTAGGTGTGGTGTGGATGGGCCCTGGGCAGGGCCTGGGTGTGAGGAGTGATTAAGGCAGGTGCAGCATAGGTCATTCGCCCTGCTTGGAGCCTGGGGCTTCTGTCTCTGGTGGGCTGCTCTGAGCACAGACGCTGGGAAAGCCTTACAGACCAGCCACCCCAACTGTAGGTTTACAGATGGGGAAACTGAGGCCCAGAGAGGGAAGCGACTTGCCCAAGGTCACAGTTCATGGTGAGGATTGAACCAGAACTCAAGTTTGGGGCTCTCCCTTCCTACCGAATCCTCCTCTCAGTTTTTCTGGTTCTCTCCTCCCCTCTTGGAGAGCAAGCTGTTTGCAGGGCAGTGACCTCCTCATCCCCTTCCCTTCCATGCATCCACCCACACAGAGCCAAGAACAGGCCTGGAGACCCAGGCAGGGTATGGAGGCAGTGGCTGTGGCCCCAGGGAATATGGTTGTGGCAGTACCAAGTCTCTCCACATGGGAGCGTCCAGAGCCTATGTTTTTATTTTCTGATGGCAAAAATGTCAATTTTCATTGTTATTGAACATAAAATAGAGTGATGTCTTCAGTTTCACAATGCAGGCAGCGCATGTCATGTGCTTTTGACAGTTCTATCACATGACAGTTGCAATTTTTTTCCTTCTGGGCTTTGGGATATTGGGGCCTTGGTGGGGAAGACACATGCTACCCCATGATGCCTGCCCCCCAAGATTATGCTGATGCCTAGTTAGCTCCCCTCCTTCCTGTCCAGCCACAGCTTGTACATGTGAAGGGAGGGGGCGCTCACTACCCGTAGAGAGTTCCAGTGGGAAATGCTTCTTTGTACTGAGTTCCCTCCAAGTTTTTGGAGCAGACAGTAACTTTAAGATTTATGTTCTCAGGCCTAAGCCCAGAGACCCTGCCCCTACCACTCACAAATAAAAGAAACTCTGAGGGACGGAGAGAAGGGACATTCCTTTTTCTTCTGCCCAGGTGTTTGGGAGCTGTAGCAGAGAAATCCAGTAAGACCCAATAATATCCAAGAATACCCGTCTCCCATAATTAGTGGGGAACGTTTCTGTCACTATCTGTCTAGTTCTAGACACTTTCATCCCCTGCAACAGTGACTGGTGGCCTTTGTAGCTGAGGAAACAACTGGTTATGGGGCAGTGAGGAGGGAAGAGGACCAAGGTAAGGCTCTCGTTAAACAGTGAGGCCCAGCCAAATCATCATAGCTGAACAAACAAGCCAATGCGGCACAGAGCTTTGAAACTGCCAGCCCAGCCGGGATCTCTCCCAAGACCCAGATACTTCCTGTTCCAGACACACTGAAGCCCCAGACTTAGGATCTCAGAATGCTGTGACTCAGAAGCCTCTGGAGGAGATGGCATTTCTACAGGCAGGATGCCAATGTAGAGGCCTGAGGAGGGCAGTGGATGTGGGCAAGTGCCTGGCGGAAGCCCTCCTCAGTGACTGTCTGTATCTCAGCCTAGCCTCACCGCCTAGTGACTGACAGCCTGTTGTGTCCCTGTCAGTCGTGAGCTCCCGAGGGCAGGACTGTGCAGGGTCTACCTCACTGTCCCTCCCAGAGCCTGGCTCCAGGCCTGACACACAGTAAGTACCCATGGAATTGAAATGAGTGAGACCAGGCCACACTCCCCACTGGCCCAGGCCCTGCAGCCGGGCTCCCTGGGAGGAAGATAATCCTTTACTTGAAGCTCAGCGATGTGGAACTGTCCCAGTGACCACTTCCATCTGTCCCCACCGAGGCTGCAGGGAGTGTCTTCCCCACCCTGTGACATTTGTGTGCAGATCTGAGATTTCAGCAACAGTCGTCCTTTACACCTCAAGAATCTGCCCCCCGCCCC